GGGGGGGGGGGGATCACTTTTCAAGTCTAACAGGCATATATAAAATCAAGCAATCAGGAAATGAATGTAAATATTTGGCATCAAGCTCTGTGATTAGGAAATGAAAGAGATCAGACTTCAGAATCAATCGCTTACCAACCATCCATCAAAGCCTAAAGCAGCAGCAAGCTCACTTAACCGCTCTGCATACATCTTAGCTGAGTCCTTTGATGACAGTAATTTGTTGGCAAGAAATTTGCCTTCATCCCACTCCATGATAAATGTTCCCAGTACCTTATAATAAATGAAATATAGCTCAATGGAAAAGGAGGAAGTGACCAGCCTGCCATGCAGAACCTTAGGTGTTGGAAGAGTAGAAAACAACTCAACATGGAGAAATTAGTCAATCAATCAACTACAACTTAACCACAAAGCAGTTGAGGTCGTCTATGAATCATTTATCTCTGTTTCTCTCTATTCAGGTTCGCTCAAATTATATATAACACGAGAAAGAAGAAAAAGAGCACGGCGTCAAATCTGATACCTTAACTCCATGCTTGTGGGCAGTGTTAGTCCAACAGGGAGGCGGCAGAGTAACCAAAGAATGCGAGAAATACACGAATACATCAATTAAATACCAATGCCATATAGCATAAGCATCTGGATTACTTCCGCCTTGTATCCACTTATCGTCAAGGTATCCTCCAGCCATATCGTGGCATACCAAAAGCCTAGGTCGTTTCGGCAATTCATTGGCGGCGTAAGGCGGCAACTTCACGGAAGCCTTAGTGAACGGGAAATGAAAAGAGTCGAAATAAGACCTCGACTCGAGCTCTTCTAGCGTCTTAAGCGGGTAAGATATCGGAATCGACGGTTCCGATGGATCAAACGGCGGAGGATCATCGGAGTGAGGTGTCGCGTGCTGATTGCCGGCCATGGGATTAAATTTTGAGAGCAAAAAGAAAAGAGAATCGAGAATAAATCTGAGAGAAGATAGGGTTTGGCGATGGTGGGATTTGAAGTAGGACCGAAACGGAAACCTCATTGGAGAAGTGGAGAATCCATGTGATGGAGAGGACTAAGGAGAAGTTGACAATAGGGAGTAAACGTTAGGAGATTTGAATTTATGTTTCTTGCTCTACTTATACAAGTTCACCCGGCTGGGGAGAGATGGAGTATGGTTGTCACATCAACGATGCAGTAAAAACTTGAAGAATTAACCCAAATAAAAAAAAAATAACTCTCTTAACCTATAAATAGACAGCAAATATATAATATATATTTTATTTATATATAATTATATGTAATTGTATATAATTTATGTATATAGACCAGAAAATGAACATCGACTTTGACCGGTTAAAAACTTATCCGCTAAGTTTGTGTAGAAATAACATCATTTGACCGCTTTTCAATATTGTTTTTGGGAAATAGCCACTATATTGGAGTTTTACTTGTAGAATGAATTTGAAGCTTCATGACGGTGGCTATTTTCTGTTACAGGAACAGAAAAGTGATTATTTGTTAATTTTGTTCATTTATTTGCACATAAATCTCTCTTACTTAATCATAATTAATTAATATATATTTTACTTCATTAAATTATTTAGTATTGAAATGGTATTGTTCAAACACGTAACGTAGGTACAGTTTTATTTCAATGATATAGTGGGATTATTGAAACAACTCTGCCTCGAACATAAATCTAAGGTTCAAATCAGGAGAATGAGAACTTTTTTATGGTGAAGGGTTTTTTTAGTAGACTTATCTAGCGTGAATTCAAAACCAGAAGAATGAAGAACTTTTTAATGATAATTATTTAGTCTTTTTGTGAATGTATCTGATGTGAATTTCAAGTAATGATGCAAATATTGAAATATTAAGAAAATGATTGTGGACATACCGTGTGATTGGAGCATTTGCATCTATACCCGCTTTTTGTGTCACGTTTTAACTTGTGCCCGCTTTGCAAAAAAAATTGCAAGCGTACTCGCTTTTTCGCATAACTTCAGCATACGGGGCTGAAGTAGCAAAGACAGCAAAACTTCAGCATTCTAATAGCCGGGCCTGAAGTTCAGTTCTAGAGCTGAAGTTTTTGTTTTTTAACTAGCGAAGTTTTTGTTTTTGTAACTGGCGAAGTTTTTGTTTGTAACTGGCGAACTTCAGCTCTAGAGCTGAAGCACCACAATTAGGAGTGATTTTTTAAGAAAAATAGTGTACATCTTCTTAGCTCAAACACGAATAAACATACAAAAACTCTAAAATTTTACAGCTCATCCTACTGGTAACTTAAACTTTTTCCTAAGACTAATTTGCTGTAAATTTGGAGCAGAAGTACAACTGCCGAACTGTTCAATTAAAAAAAATTGACCTTATAACTAAAGCAATGTTGCTTCTGGAGATAAATACCAGTTTGTTTTGTAACTTGAAGAAGAAAACGAAGGAGGAGGAGGAGGAGGAGGAGGAGAAAGGGGACTGAAGTTATTTAAAAAGTGGGTACAAGTTAAAAAAATTTAAAAAAATTGGCATATGTTAGGACGCCCCGCGCAATTTTTATGTATGATTGAGTCTAAAAAGTTGTGGGGTCACGGGGCATGTCTTTCCAACAAAAAGTTAAGGCAAAGTTTATTCGATGAAACTTCAATTAACGTACACTTATCTTAGGAAATGATCAATATTCTCGTACGAACTTTCCCGCTGTGCTCGGCAACTGTCCAACGTAAAGGAAAACATAGGACAGGAAAACAGGGAAAAATTGGTAAACTTAATATTAAATTCTGTCTCCCATCTTTCCTCTCTTCCTTATGTCGAGCAAAGTAAGGAATTCATTGCCTACCTTGGATTAGTTGCCAAGCATTGTGACTTTTCGTCTTAAATTAAGTGTATGTTCCGTATTTATAAGAATTAATTAATGTATGTTTCGTACTAATAAGAGTTAAACTTAGTTTTGACTCCATTGCTTGAACTAAATTGACCCTGACCATAAACAAAACAATTTAAAACGACTCCTTGTTCAATAAAAGATCATATTGGATTCGGTAAGAATTGAATAAAATAACTTAGCGAATCTAACAAACACAATCACCACGGACATTAATTTCATTTACTCTCCACTCAAACAACTCGAATTCAAATGCGTATTCCATTCTGAAAAAAATGGTCGAATTAGTTTATATAAACATAATAAGACATTCAATTGGTGACATAAATATTTAATAGAGGTAATGGGCTACTAGACATAAATTTGCTTCTTTATCTCAAGATTATGACCAATCAATCTGTTTCGAGAAAATATATCATCAAATTGTTACATTTTTCATGTGAAAGAACTACAATACATTTAGAAAAAAAGAAAAGGAACACCTAGAGAGATGTAACTTTCAGACTATGGACGTATATGGTAAAAGATAATTGCCTCCGACTCTTAAAAGCAAAATGAAGCAGCTGAATTTTGTACGCCATTCTTGAACTAAACCGCTAAACCCTCAGAAAGCTGATTGGCGTCCTTTCCGGTCGAAGAACGAATTGTGATCCTCTTTCACTTGGAGCTCAATATTTCTTAAGTTGTTATATAATTTGCCCATTGGAGTGAATTGCATTTGGAAACTCGTTTGGGATTTGTACTGCGTTTTTGCTTGGATGGGCAAAGCGATTCTGCATTTATGGAGTTATTACGTTCCGATCACTTCCAATCAACTGTAAAAAAAGACTCCAGATAATTAGAATAGCTGAAAGTGATCATCCTCCCTAATCCGACAAATTATCTTGAACTAACATGCAAGCAAATTGTCTTCATTTTAGTTACTGCTACTCTGAGCCAATGGAGATAAGTTTTTCACCTTAGACGAGGGAACAAGAGGAGATAGTGCAGTAACATTACCACAGTTTTGCAAAAAGCAACATTAGCACAAAATTATATTACACCAACAATAGATAAAAACCGGATATCATCTCCAGCTAAGTCGTTGATAAAACTAAGTGTATCATGATACATGAATTACACATCAGAAAAAGACACCCCACTACTAATAGTTAGAATCATAAAAAGAGGTGGTAAAAAAGATTAATAAAATCAAAAGAAAAGGTCGGTCAGATAGCAACAAAATTTGGTTGCTCATCCATGGATCTGCAGTCCAATGTGTCGTAGGCAACTCAGGATAATTGCGCTTGTTATCCAAATTTATTGTTTGATCGACTTCAGTTTCTGGGCGATCAAGACATACTTATCTTCCTTTGCTAGGTAACTGGTATAATATCTGCAACCACCACATATGAATGAATTTCACCGACAGAATTCGTGCCTCCATGTAATCATATGTCAGAAAGTAAGTCCTCAGTCCCAGTCAATTTTGCAAACTCATTCTCATCGATCGCTCCCTTTTTTAGCTTTTTCAATAAGCGGTACTCCCTTGTAATCTCATCTTCATCTTCAACTAACTGCGTAGCACGTCTCTGTTTGGCAGTTTTCTTTCTCATGGCAGTTGCTGTAGAATTTGCCTCCTTTTCAAGTCTCTGTATCTTCTGTTCTTCTTGTTGTGCCCTTGCAGCTTTTCTCACTTGCAAATTTTTCTTTCTTTGCTTCTCCCTTGACTTGTCCCTGAGTGGAAAATGTAACAGCTAAATATCAAAGGCCAAGACTCTAAAATAGAAACATTTGGCGACCAGCACTTGTATCACACATTGAAACTGCTTTGAAAAATTATAATAATAATGACAATACGCATTGAACTGCCTAATCTGTATGATTCCAACTAGATTGTTTGCAGGCTGAATAATGAATAAACTTACTTAAACTTGATCTCCTCCAGGTTGATATCTTCAACTGCCGTAAATCCCTTCGTAGAAAGAGAATGATGCTTCACTTCAGGCACAGAAGGAAGCTGCAAAAGACCATATCCTGTGCCCAACTTCCCAATCTCAAGCTCCTTCCACCTGTAAATAGAGGACTAAGCTGAAGACATGGAATATAATTATAATCTTCATGCTACATCATGGCCTGAACTTACCTCAAAATGTAAGAGCAGTGATGCTCTTTATATGCACGGATGTATGAAACAAACGCCCTAAGTCCTTTCTCCATTACATCACGATCTTTCTTTGCTGCTGACCGTATCTAGAAGAAAGAAACATCAGTACCAAAATTGTACTGGTACTAAGCATCTAATTAGAGAAAACTCAATTTGAAAAACCTTGAGATTGCATGAAATAATGCTAGGACTTTAAGCAAGAACAGAATAGAGTAATATGCACACAACATAAATCATACAGGCTGCTGGCAGAATGCAGACTTGCCAAATATCACAAACATATATTTTCTAAATGTAGTTAGCTCTGATCCAACAGAACTTACAAGTATACTGGTCTATGTGTAAGCAATGGCATCAAATATCCTTTTAACATTATTGTTAAACTCAACACTACATGCAAATATGTGTTTCCAGTCTGCTCATGCAGATCCTGCTTAAGGTAGAAGAGACATGATTGGAAAGAAGCAGATTCTGTTTAGAGTAAAAGGAATCTTTAATATCTTAGATTCATCTTCATCTTGTACAATCTAACAGACATGTTGTCAGAAATTACCAGTGGTCCCACACTTTCACCAGCAAAAACCCCGATTCCATTAACAACTGAATGGCAAATGACCTAAAACAAGCAACTAAAAAAACTAGGGAAAGAAAGCATTTCCACTACGAAGCAAGGGGGGAAGAGAAATATGGCACAATGGCATAGTATAATTCTTACTTCATCGATAATATCGGGAGCCTCAGAGGCACATTCCCCCTCTTCTAAGAAAACGCCTTGTATACACAAGAATTCCACATATGCTTCCTCCTAAAAATGCCAAGACTGATCATAGTTAATAAGTAGGTAGGGAGTAACGCTTGGTAGACAATATATCCAAACAGCTTCCCAAAAGTTTGATACACTATTGAGGTGCAAGAACCTGACCTTTGGTAATAGAAAAACAACAGCACTTCCTTGTCGGCCCAGCCTAGCTGTTCGGCCTACTCTATGTATAAACATTTTATGATCCTGAGGAGGGTCGTACTGCACAAGAAACAAAATAAAAGAATAATACCTCCATGTAAGTTCCAGCTGCTTATTATCATGCTCATAATTGCATGCACGACTGACTAAAGAACTATTTTTTATTGGGAGAATGGTGGTTCATAGTTCTACCACAAATGTCCATCTGTATACCTGTTCATAAGGAATTTAGTGCCTTTGGTGTGACTAGCTGGGCCTGTACAAAAGGCCTAAGCATTTTAGGATGGCATTAAAATTTTCAGAACATTAAGAAGTTTCTCGAAATGATTTTTCAACATTTTTGAGACCAAATGCCAACTAGATCATTCCCATACAATGCTCTTCATATGAACATATTCTACAAATGCTATACTGTAACACATACATAAACCAGGTAACGTTTTCTTATAATGATATCTTGCCATCAAAATAATGATATCTTGCCATTGGATAGGGGAAAGCAACAGTCAACAATGTGTAATACTAACTTCAATGCTATGGGAGTTGGGCACTGTTAGTTCTGCTGGACAAGTTCTCAGTTCTCTAAGTTCAGGTGGTGAAGG